GGCATGGCAGCATGGATTTGGCTCCACTCGCCCAGTGCCACTGAGGGAGTCACCCCTCCTGCGGCAAGCGTCAGGGAGCTAACGGGCTAAGCTGCCTTTGCAGCTATTTTGGCAGAAATCAGCCAGAAGGGTGAGGAAACGGTCCAAAAAAGCAAGGCAGCAGAGAAGAGGACCCCGTACCTTCTGATTCAGAATGGAATTACAGAATATCCATGCCTCAAAGACTATCTGGTAACATGCTCCTTGTGAAAGTCCCAGGCTGCAGAAACAATCCCACCAGGGAACAGAGGTGCCATTTTCCTTCAGTAACTTCTCCTTCCTCGAAGCTGATGATGTCAAACCTTGTCATCTGTATCCTGATTTCACAGTGAGACTCGCCTCATTGCAAGCAATCAGATTTAAATACTGACGGTCTTAAAACAAATTATCATTTATTTCTGGCTTTCTTAGTTTTCAGGAACACCATCGACAGCCACTGCAGTTGTCAGTGCAGGCTCATGCCATGCTCTGCCTCTTGTTTCCCCTTATTCTCAAGTACAATTGAAAGGTTGCTTTCTCTAGCACACGGATACACCTCTCAGAGTGGATCGGGATGTTCTTAATATGGTACTTTCATCAGTAATCAGTTGGAAGAACTCAATTTTAGAAACAGAATTCGTGTGCAAAGCGTGCAACAAGAAATACAGTTTACATTTGGTCATAGTGACCTATCTTAGTTATGCTACCATGACTCACACCGATTAGTATACTTACACACACACACACACGTACACACACATAGATATTTATTTATATACACGCTCACACAATAAGAAAATGTCTAAGTCTGACAATATTTCCTCCTCTTTTAGTGAAGATGGGAGTTTGGCATCTCAGGCTCTGAATCTGCTTAAACCTGGGATACAGGAATGCGACACACTTCAAGTATACATCAAATGCACAGTGATAACATCGCACATTGAGTCTGACACATGCTGTCTTCAGTGGTCCAGCACCAGCGTGTGGCTTAAAACCAGTAGCCCGTTAAAGGAGCCAATATCGGCGACCTTCGCCTTTCAGCGTTCGTATTCATGCAACGCCCGAGAGCAGGGCGATCGTCTGTACAACCATAAACGTCCTTCTGTATAAACGCAGTGGTATTTAAAAGTCTGAACCAGTGCATTCCTCTCTTACATTCCTCCTCTATTCCTTTGTTGCTGTTACTCTCGTATGCATGTGAAAGGAAAAGGTAGTGGGGAAATAATTTTAGTAGAAGAACACAAAGCCTCTCCTCTAAGTCCACAGAATACCACTAAAAGTGTAAAATTTCCAAAATAGCTCATAGGAATTCTTCAAATACAGTATGTGTTTTCAGTGGGGTTTACATATCACGTTTCACGTTATTTCCACGGAAGTCTACCTTATCACTTTGTTTAATCAGACAAATATCAATAACACATAATAAAACGGCATACAATTCACGGGACACGACACGTTTTACAAAACCTCTAAAACTCAGCACTGCCGCTTTTGGGAAAAAATCAAAAACTCCTATTACTTACAGACATGAAATACACTGCACATTGAAATGAACAGCATGATTACAAGGCTTTTTTTCTTATTTGATGGTATTGGTTTAGGATGCATTCGTTTTCAATTAGGTTTCACAATTTTTCTTCACGCTTCCAAAAGGAACCGTTGCTATTTTCTCTGTGCTCTTTCAGGAAACTTACTATTATTCAGTAAACACTTTTTGAGAAAAAAACTTTTGAAAATTTAGCTCGAATCCCTAATTGTAAAGCCTGAAGAACTGGCTGATGGTAATGCTCTTAACACAATCATCGCTCAGCTTACAATGACAAACCAAAAAAATATTACAGGAGGGTACAAACACGTTAAGCCACGGGTTTGGTTTTCTCTGTTGTTGAATTTTTTTTATTTTTTAAACCGACTCCTTTCCTCACAACGCTGAGAAGTCTCTGACTTACAACGCTTCAGCAGTCGTGTCTGTGGAGACAGACATGGTAACTTTGGCAATCTTAACTGTGCTCTTAATGCAGCTCTCGGCAGCCCTGTGCACGTTCCCCGCGTTGTTGGCGTGTTTGTGCTGGCAGTCAGACTCCATGCTGTTATCGAGGGGCTGCGCGGTTCCTTCGCAGGTGGGGAACATGCTGCGGAAGGCGTGTCGCAAGTCCTTGCTCCTCAGAGCGTAGATGATGGGATTCACTGTTGAATTCAGCAAACAGAGCATGCTACAGAAGGCAAAGACTGTCTTGATGAGCTTGTTCATTTTCCCAAAGACATCGTATACCATGATGGCGAGGAGAGGGCCCCAGCATATGATTAAAACGACTAGGATAAGGACCAAGGTTTTGGCTAACCTGATGTCCATACGAGTTTGATCAGGCCTAGTGATCTGTACCTTACCATCCTCCGTAGACTGAATGATTATGCTTTTCTGCGTGCCCCGCTGAATCATGCGAACAGCGTGGCTGTGAGCCTTCCACAGTATGTACATGTAGGCATAGACAATGAACAGCAAGAGGACACTGGTGACCCCGATCCAGAACATCAGGTACGTCTCGTCGATGAGAGGGAATATGTCCGAACAAACAGAGTTGAGCTTTTTGCAGTTCCAGCCGAGCAGAGGAAGAACGGCTATTACTATAGCGATGGTCCACATCACACAAAACGCTACGACAGCCTTTGGTCGGGTAACAATCCTTTTGTAAGCTAGTGGCCTGTGTATAGATATGTACCGGTCTATTGCCGTGAGGAAAAGGCTACCTACGGAGGCGGTGAAGGAGGCTGTAACTCCACCCAGTTTGAACAAGAAGACGTTGGGGCTGTCCTTCCGGTGGAAAACATGGAAATCCACAAAACTGTAGACAAAAATCACACTGCCCAGGAGGTCGGCTACAGCCAGGCTGCCGATGAAGTGGTAGGAGGGTCTACACCGGAGGCTTCGGGAGTGGAGGATGACGCACAGGACGAGGAGGTTCTCTAGGACCGTGAAGGTGCCCAGGGTGAGTGACAGCACGGCGATGGCCAGCTGCTGGCTGGGGTTCAGGATCATGAAGCACTCCATATCCATGAAGTTCTCCCCACACTGTATGTTCTCCTCATTATCCTTAAACGTGGACAGGGACTTGTTGTAAAACTCTGTGATGTTGACCTGATCTGAGGGAATAATGCTTAACAGGGGATCATCTCCCGCAGTCATTTTTTCTTGGAAAGGATCACCTCTGAAGGAAGAGAGAGGAAACTTCTGGGGGTAGTATCCCAGCTTGGATGCCATGTCGCCTTTCATGTCTTCGTACTGGATATCGTTGGAGCCGACGTAAAGGAGATCTGTTGTGATTGTTCGGAAAGTTGTGTCTGCGAGGCCATCTAGGATTGACTTCATAACCCCAGTCTTGTTGGTTTCAGAGAGACTTGGGTGACGGAAAAATGCATCGGAGAAAATCCTAGAAGGGGAAAAGATCAGACTTCATTAAGTGATTCTCTCTCTCATTGGAGACAAACTCCACAAACAGCTTAGCTGAACTGTGTCAAACAAAATCAACCTTTCTCTTGTATTCAGTGCAGGTCTAGCCTTTGCCACCTGCAGGAATCAGGGTGAGTCAAGCACTCAGAAAGAAATCACCTGGATTTCACTGAAACTGAATTACACTAAGAAGTGATGTGAAAACTGGAGGTGCAAGGAATTGAGTATTCCACAGGAAAGTAATTTTCATTTCTCATCAAAACATTCTGAGCCGCTCCACCAGAAAGATATTTTTCTCTAGATCTGAACTTGGCTTCTGATTGCAAAGCACTTTGCAGACCAATATTCCTTGGACTTGCTTCGTTTAGATAATACCACGTGCCACTGCAGGAGCAGCATTAAACTGAATCATCACCTTCATTGATTTTCTTTCAAAAGGCACTGAGGGTTTTGAAAACCTGACAACAGAGAGGGAACGGGGAAAGAGCCATGCACTCTAACCTTCACAGTTCACCCAGTATGCCTGCGTATTCACATTACCCTGTTAGAGCAATCTGAGGTCTACTAACATCCTGAATTTGTTCTTGCAAATTTATTAGCAAGGTGTTTCATCTACAAATACAGGGATCTGGATATAGCTTCCTTACTCTATTCCTTCCTTCTGCTAAGCATACCAAGGCAACTGGGATTACCAAAGTCCAAAGACTCTGTGGGGGAGGTGGGTTGTTACTCAGCCCTGTCCACAGTTTCAGGAAAAGTGACCAGCGCTGCTCAGTCAGTGAGTGCATCAGTGATCCATTCTGCGTGGATCAGAAGCCCCAGTCAGAGCAGTTCACGCTTGCCTAGAAAAACATGGCACCAAGTTTGGGTCAGAGTACAGCTCTGGCCAAAACACCAAGCAAAAGAGACCAGGAGCCACTGCTCCTGCGAGAAGCATGGAAATGTAACTCGTCCTGTTGGGGACACCCTCAAAAACATTCTGTCCCCTCGGAAACGAGGAGCCCAGCAGAAGGTCCCCAGGCAGCCAGTGGTCTCTGAGTCCCATCACGCCCAGCCTTTGCTCGTGGATGGTGAGTAATTGCAGGGTGTAACGCCCAGTCAGGGTACCCTTGGGAGAGCACCCTCATCAGCATCTGAGCATCTTACATGCATCAACATGTAAGACAGGTTTTACAGCTCTTATTATGCTGTGCTCCTTTGCCCACATATCATGCCTTGAATATGCATTGAACATCTGCTTTAGGGCCCCCTTCCACCGCCAGAGTGGCTGAGAGTGGTCTGAATGTAAATAAGAGCCAGAATCATTGCTTCGGTGTGCTACAGCTATTCTGCATCTGCTATGGGACGTCTCGATGATTACATCAGCAACAGGAGCAAAACCAAGCTTTTTCATGCTTTTAGAATGGAGGAAATTGTTCGTGACACCCAAGAAATCCCAGATGCCATATATAGGCTTGTACTGACTTAACCTGTTCGCTTTACACAACTGACAATAAATGGACAGAAAGGCCACTAGAGATTATCTGCCAAAACCTGGAGTACTGATCACTTCAACTCCTAAAAAGGAGTCTCGCACAGTAGGTACCACAGCTCAGTTTTCCCATGAAAACTAAAAGAAAGAAGAAAACGATTCATCTCTACAACAATACCAATACCTAAAACAAGAAGAAATCATGAGCATTTCCAAAAGAAGCAGAGATCATTTGGCTGATGAGATATTTATACTGCACTTACAAATGGCACCTGAACACTCAAGACTTTTTCCATAGTTCACTGAAGTTCTCCATTTGATTCAGCAGGCCTGGACATTGAGTGTTACAGGAAATATAGGAACCTAGACCTCCAGAAGACACTGCAACTCCAGCGCTGGAAACAAGGATTGAGTATAAACAACTCTTACCAGGATAGTCTAACCCACAACACAGGCACTTGCTCTCTCAGCTTTTGCAGACAACGTTGCTCAGCAAATAACAACATAATTATTAGACAGACAGACAATATTAAGGAATTTAATTTTGAGGGTTTGCGCAGAAAGGGAGGGAAATGTCACTGAAGCACACATTAAAAATGAACAGCAATAATCTAACACGTAACATACTTTTCATCCAGAAGGTGCTTTACAGCTGTTCCTAGTAGAATTTGCAGATGTTACATGTTGCAAAGATGACCCTGCTGACAACTGACAAATCTGCTTTGGGTGAAGTCTGGCAACTTTAAACTTGGCATTATAACACCAGTTTAAAACCAGAAGTGAAGAATGTGTTATTCATTTGAAAACTACCCAAAAAATATTAAATCTATCAAGTAGTTCTATAAACATGTAAAGATGGCTGTAGTACCTCTGTTACTCCAGCTTATTTCTGACAGAAAAAAGACAACCATTTAAATTATTAACGCCAGAGCCCCATGTCGAGAAGATTATGTTTGAGTAAAACTTTAAAAATTGTATGCAACTGAGCACTTCTACTAGACAGACAAACAAATTGTTATGAGGTAGCTGGTCCCTGCTGGAGTCATGTTAAGTACAGAGTTCCTCAGAATAAGGTGCAAGCCACCGTGCAACCCCTACCTTTGTTTGAAATACAAATGAAAGAACACGAATTCCTGCGTGCTCTTTTGAAGGTGGCAGTGAGTTATGTGACAGTATCACTATGCATGCATATGCTATGCTAGCGACATAGTTAATGGGATCAGGAGAGGCAAGTCTTACTCTGAATTTCAATGATTTTTTTTCCTTCTGTATTTTTACATTGAGATTATTACAGTAATTTCCACCTTATTGTCTCTGCAAAGAGAGTTTTCTTTGAGAGTACTTGGGAGTTCATTAGTGGTGTAGTTTAGGCTTTGGGGGATGCAGCTGACATTAATTTTGTTTTTGTTTGCTGCTGGGAATATCATAATTGGAAATTTCTAGCAGTATGTGTGCATGCACCTATTCAAGTAGCAGTTGATTTTTATTAAAGTTACAGTAAAACAGCCATTCGCCTGATCTGGAATTGCACTTTACTGGAATTTTGTTTATTTTAATTTAGATACTAGCTTGCCCTGCTATAAGCTACAATACTGAAACGCGCTGAAGCGATCGGTGAGGTTTTCGACGGCTGCCTAGTGAAAACAAGACTGGACCTTTGGCACTGAGGTTATCGGGAGAAGCCAGGTCACAGTCTGAGGTGGTGTACGATTTGACAGAGACTGAAAAGCTGATGCTGGGAGTGGTGGTCTGGTTCCTGGTCTTTTTGTTTGGTTAGGTGGACGTGCCAGTGTCACACCAATTTTGGCTCTGAGCTCTTCTGTCCAAACCTGGAGTTGCGAGGAGGTACTGCCCACAAGAACGGGACACCGCACTCCACGTGGCCACACTGCTCTTTGCAGCTGGCTTCAACACAACCCAAACCCATATTGCCCGAGACCCATTAACATCTCTACACGAAATACTCTGGGAGCCTTCTCACAGCCTCCCTAGCGGACAAGGGTCCCCTGCACAGACCCCTCCTCTCTGGACGGGGCTGGGATGAGGGCTGTGTGCTGCAGCGAGGTCCCCTC